AAGTTCTGTTGAAGGAAAAATTGGACTGCCAATGTTAGCGCATTGAAAACACGGACACTTATAGTGACGCCTGCTTTTTGAGGTGATTAAAAAAAGCAATTAAAAACAACAGGGTATCATCAAAATTGTTTCAATCCACTTAATCTTTAATTCGTTTCCAGTTATTGTTTGACCTCACTTAGTATTGGTCCAAAAGTTTTTTTGGTTCGTTAAAGGGTAGCAAGCCAATTACCACCAAACCTTTGGCGTTAGAATTTCTTTTCAACTGAATAGACTCGAGATAGACGCCTAGACACGAAGACGGTTGCTAATGATTCATTCAAAGATCTCTTGTTCCTTTTTTACGCTTTTGATTTAAAAAAAAAGAAAATTCAAGGCTCTATATCTCTGTACACGATTGTTCGTGTTTTTCTCGATTACCGCCAATTATACTCCAGTAAGCATACACGGGTTTAGACTGTCGCGTAATTTTCTCGTGCGGACGAGTGTAAAACATTTTGCGGGTAACCAAAATAGAGGTGACGTATGTCTGTATGAACGGCTAGCGTAAACGTAAAAGCTGAGAGAGGTTCAACTTGTACCTCTACGCGCGACCTTTCATACAATGCCTCTATTCTATTTCCGCGCGTAAAATTTACGCGCGTAAGCAAGTAAAAATTATGCGGCAGGGGAAATCCATCTTAAGTTGTTTTTCTTTTCGTTGACTCACCATCTGATGCTAAAATCCTTTTCCATTGATAGCTAATTTACTCAGTCGTTATACCAGTGGCCGGTTGGTTTTTTAAAAACTTATTTTTAATTACAAATATACAATTACTGAACAACAATGTCTTGAATAATTTTCGCTTAGTTACAACAGGTGTAACACCTTTTGTTTCTTGTTTCCTAAGAAACTTAGAGGTTACTATGAACTATGGACAAATCCGGAGTCAGATAAGAGATATACAAAATTATATACACAAATGAAAATTGCAGAGAAAACGCTAAAAAGAAAATTAGAATAAGCTAGGCATTATTTCGTCTAAATACAAAAAAAACAAAACATAAAAATGGGGATTGCAAAAAGGCAACCGAATCAGTATAGAGGGGAATCGGATATTTTCTTTTCGGTGGCTCGTGGCTTGTTTAGCAGCCCCTGAGGGTTCAAGAAAACAGTAACATGCTTTTTAAGTGATCCGATCTTTTTGTATATATTAAATTTCCATCTTTTGGCCATATAGCGCGAATTTGAAGTTTCGCCAGATTTGTCTCATTTTCAGGAAATTAAGTGCCGCGAAAAGAAAAGCTGTAGCTAATAAGGTATCTTAATACTAACAAAAAAAAATGAAAATATAACATGCAGATCTAACAAATCTCGTGCTTTCTTTACAGGAATTGTAAATTCATCCAGCTAGGGATTTTTGTTTGCCAAAAATTTGAGGATTGTTCTTGAAGTCTGAAGAAAAGAAAGACAATATAATGAAGTTTTTGCTGCCCTAAATGCACCGAATCAGTACTGAATACACTTGAATAAATCAGCTCACTGAGAACGTTTACTTTTAAAAATCTTTAATAAGCCTAATTCAAACAGCAATTACGTGGTTATTCCTCTGAAAGCAAATTTTTGCCAATGAAAAGCTTAAGACTACATTTCGCACAGCTTTTCTAAAGTCCCGGCTTCTTATGCAATATATAAAGGGATTAAAAGCTGAGTTGCTGAATTCTGCTAAGGCAACCCAGAACCAGTAACCGTTTATTTTCATTTTCCTGCAAGAATCAGTACTGAAAAATTGCAAAAGGGATATGACTAGACTTGGAGTCCAGCAAATTAGAAATACACCCACAACTATTCCGATAGTTAAAGCTGCTTTACGGTTCTTAAGTTGCACTAAAGTCTCGTCTGGGTTTAACGTTGCGTTGACTGCTATTCGTCTGATTTGAACGCGAACCGCCTTGAATATGTGAAAATAACAAAGGGAAATGATTACGATCGGTAACATTACAGTAATGGTTGATGCAGCAATCCAGTAGAGAGGTAATTTAAATGGATCAGTTATTACCAGTCTTAAACACGCGAAAACAACAGAGAAGAACCAGATGGAAACGATGACAGCTCTGACGCGAGACCGCGTCAACATCTCGATATAACGAATATTGGTTACTGCTACATAGCGATCCACACTAACAGCACACAAGCTGAACGTAGTCGCCACGATGGTCTGCATTGTAAGGAATTCAATTGTAGTGGAAAGCTGATTATCACTTTTCCAGACGTTCAGAAGACTCTTGGAAACCCACAAAGGATTCATAGACAAACCGACTGTGAAGTCGGCAAATCCAAGAGAAGCAATAAACGCATTTGAAATTGTTCTTAGTCTTGGTACTTGGTAAATGGCTGCTAAAATGAGTGCGTTTCCAACACATGATGTTAATCCAAGAATTGTGTTGAAGGTTGCTAACACTACAATTTCTGTGTTTGTAAGTGCTCCAGAACAGACGTTTATAGCTGCTGAATTCATCCCTTGCCAGCTTCCTCTTGGAGAAGTTAACAAAAACAGGTTTTCATGTGTTAATTGACAAACTGCAGTGCATATGGTTGAATTTAAGCAAGTACGACTAAAAGCTATTTTCCATAATGAAATAGGCAAGAGCGAAAAGCTGTCTTCCATAACCATCGAAGAAACTTGAAGATTTATTAATTTTCGTTTTTTATTTGGACTCCAGAAGTAAATACGTTTGGTACTATTTACTCCTCTATCGTGTGACGGGTACATCAGCACAATTATTACGTGTAGGACCATAACAAAAAGAGGAAAATGAAATGTGCATATATTTTTGGGAGCTTTAGTTTTTGTTTTTATTATAGCCAAGAAAATAGAGATCCGTGTTCTTTCCTTCTTGTCCACCTCATAATCGAATGCCCTATCGTCGCACGTCAAATCTTAGACAAAAAAGCGCTGCTTTGACAGTAAGTTTTCAAAATCACAACGGTTTGACACTCACCACTAGAAGATTTCAATATTGGGGGGTTGCTAAATGACTGCATTTCAAATAATTTGTCCAGCTGTCCGTTCTCAAAAGATATAAACCCATAATTACTTTAAACAAAGACGAGAAGGTGACTAAGCGTTTGGAACTCTTTTCTCTATTAAATCTTAATAAAGTTCAGGTTGCTTTTGTTGGTAGAATTAACGGTGAAGCTAGTTGATGGAGATAAAAAGAGCAAAAAAAGGAAAAAAATAAACAAAATGAAACTGAATAACTGATGAAAAATTTGAAGCCTTATGACTTGTAAATGAACTTAAATCAAAAAACCAACCCGCGGCTATCCCGAACTAATCTTCGATGGCAGTTTCAAATAATTGTGCTCAATATCTGTCTTTTCCTTGGCTAAGAGACTACAGTTATTTTTGGAAATCAGCGCAACCTTCAGATTAGTTATTTATCTCCTAGCAGAGACTAAGAGAAGGTTGCGCACGCGCACGCAATGCGACATCGCGATAGCCAGACGCAACGCTTCGAAGGTCTCGTTTTTATCAAAACGTAAGCGCGATTCATTTAATTCATCCTAGATATTTTGAGAACGGACCTTTGGAGCTAGGGTATTGTGCAGTAAGTAAGGAACATGATGGATAAATAAACAACACCCTCTAAAGGAAAGTTCTTGGGAACGACTTCGCTGTTGCCTAGTGTTGCCTAGTGCACAAACCTCTCGCAAAGTTGTCTGTGCAAATGTTTTATGTTCTCTTGAACTGGTGCGATATCAATAAAAAAGTCGTAAACCAGAGACTAGAGACCAGGTTAGAGCGTCTTATAAAACTGATAAGTAAAACCCAACTAGTGGTCTGTTATCAATACTGCGTTCTGATTGGTTGAGCAACCACTAGGCTATACCGTAGAGTTCCGATAGTAGCGACCCTCGTTACTTTCGGAATTAGCAGCCTTTGGGGGTCGCTACTTTCGGGGGGTCGTTACTTTCGGGGAACAAAAATCATTTACAAATAGAGTTGGCTTTTTCCGATGGTATTGATGGTTTACCGGACTACCGCATGGGTGAATCAGCCGATATAGAGGAGATCGAGTTCTTCACTGACTCAGAGGTGGAAAGCTACACTGCTTCGATTGTCCTGCATGACGCACCGCTGCGTTTTAGTCTGTACCCCGTACCGGTATCTCATGTTAATCGACGAAAACTATGTAGAGTTTTCAATTTCAATTTGAAGAAACGTTCCTGTTGTTAATAGGAAATTATGCCGGTTTACGGTAGTTGTTACATGGCTACATCAGTGAACTGATGCCAAGGACGAATGGGGGCATAAAGCTTCCCCTTGTTGTAAATTAAAGTGCCCTTTCGAGAACAATTTGTGACACTGCACGAACATATTATTGTACATTAAAATTTTGACTATGGATTGACAAATTAAAGGTATACGGTATACAATTTACAAAAACTTGGTCTCGCTACTTTCTGGGGGAGGGGGGTCGCTACTTTCGGGAGGTCGCTACTTTCGGGGGGTCGCTACTTTCGGAGGGCCGCTACTTTCGGGACTTACTAGCGGCCACAAAAAAATTGACGTTAATTTCGGGGGGTCGCTACTTTCGGGGGGTCGTTACTATTGGAACTTTACGGTATGTTATAGCCCCCTAGAAGAGAAACCCGCGGGCTTTTTGGCGGCAAAAAAGGCTTAAAGTCTGGCTTTTAACTAGCTTAAAATTTTTTATTCTCGATATTTTTGACCAACTAGTTGGACTTTATTAAAACACTTATTCCTCTCGCCCTCATGGCCTCTGAGTCAATAGCCCATTCGGCCTTCGGCCTCATGGGCTATTGACTCAGAGCCCATTCGGGCGCGAGAAATAGTTGTTAAATACCCGTTGTAGGGGGATGTCGGGTCCTTAAGGTCCGTTGACCGTATTTAGTCACTTTTGTTAAATTGCTGTGCTGCGTATTACAGAGCACTTTGTCGGCGATCAGTATTGAGCCTTTGTAACCATCCTAGAGTCTAGGGAACCAATGATGTTCAAACGTCACTCTTGTGTACAGGGAATGAATTATTGTTGCCGGGGTCACACTCGACAGTACCTAGAAACCACAATAAAGCAACAAAAATAACGTCACTCTCACTGTACATTCAAGAGATCCGTTTCAGATGCACTCAAACTGCTAATCAAGCTTTGTGGATCCACAGTCTTATTTAGCTTTTTTGGGAGTCATTTCGCCCAACGTAAGGGAATCCAAGACAGTCTTGGATTCTGGATTCCACGCCATAGAATCCGGAATCTATGGCGCGGAATCCAGAATCCAAAATTGCTGGATTCCAGAATTCACCGCAAAAATTTCCACGGTTCCGGAAACCGGATTTAGTTGAGTGGAGCCAGTCATTTGACCACAATTTGGACAAACATCTTTATTTATAAAGAACTACTTAAACTGGCTATGAAACTCATTTTACCCCTTGGTCATGTTATCCCTTTGTCCCAATTCAGACGGGTGAGTTCCTCTATTTTGTTCACCAAAGGGACCTTAAATTCGGAAAAACAATTTTTTGGATTTTACAGTGCACATCCACCAGGTCCACGGGTTGTTGAGTTTGAGCGTTGTCATCATTGTACATCTGATTTGTAATGTAACGATTTCGCGTCTTGCATTTACTTTTGTACTGTCTCTATTTACATATTCACCGGATTAACATATATTTAAAGATTGTCCACCTTTGTAATAATTATTTTTTTCAGACGCCTGTGAATTTGGTTTTTGTTTGACGGACACTGTTATTCTCTTACCTGTAATGCCATTAGGATTTTCTTTGATACCGACGTGACAGATACACTTAACACTGGAGCTGTTTTCTAGTTTCATGCAAGATGCCTGTATATTGCACTTGGAGTTATGATCTCTGTCTTTTTCGTCAACGTTCCAACCTGGATTTTCAAATAATTTTCAGTCAATAAAAATTTAAGTCATACACGATTAGATAAACTAACCCTAGTAGGAATTACTTATGGCATCCAAATAATGCTTAAAGAATGTGATTTTTATCTTTATCTGGCCATATCATTAGATTAACAGGAAGAGAAGCTAGAAAAATATGACTGTCATTTGTATGTCTATGATAATGTAAGACTTATGTCTTCCGCTTTGTTTCAGAATAATTTAATATACGTTTTTCATTTGCCCAAGGGCTTGAGTTAAAGACACGATCCAGCTTTCATGTTCAAAGCATGGCTTACGGGTTTTAGTTTTCATTTGCTACGGAGACTAATAGTCTACCCAGAGTAAAAATAAAACCCGATCAAAGGTATAAAAAACCTAGACGAAGGTTTGGATTTTCCCTGCCAAAGTGTATCCCTTGTTACCTCACCGAGCTGAGGGGCTTAGACGGCCGTGCCCGGACGTTACGAAACTCGGTTGCATTAATTGTAGAGTTATTTACTAAGTTATACAGCCGCAACACTTTATTCAAAACAAGATCATATGAGTTTACGAAGAAAAAATATTGAAATCAAACCTTTCTAAGAAAAATGTATTTTTCTGAGTGTTTAATATCCGCATAGGGGCAGGGAATTACAGACGAAAAAATTCGCTTAGTCATTTTAAATTTGTCCATTATTTTTAAATTAGGCTGTGGTTATAAGGCTGGTTGCTGTACAGTACCGCAAATGATCCCCAACCGCAAATGATCCCGAGACCGCAAATGATCCCCAAAATGGACCGCAAATGATCCTCGACCGCAAGTGATCCCCAAAGTCGACCGCAAATGATCCCGTAAGAAAAATAGGAATGACTTGGACTCAAGTTGGCGGATCATCGTGTCGATTTTATTATTATTACCAAAACGTCAGATTAAAAGCTAAATTTTACTTCTCAAATAAATCTATGAATAAAAACTAAATGAAAAAAAAAAAAAGTCATTTAAGTGTAAAAACGAAGTCGGTAGGCAACACACGACTTTTACCTCATGCTAAAATGCTGCTTGTTCCAATGAATTTTTTCCGGATCTGGCGGGTAGATTATACCTCGGAGCAAAACGTTTTGACTGAGCAAATGTAATTTTTGCCGCTTATTTCATACTGAGAGGTCATGACACGCATTTTCTGCGGTTATTGTTGTTTCTGGTCAGCATGATTTGCCCTTTGATGCAAGAGCATTTCCTTTGACCTCTTTTGAAATGCAGTGCCCTTCATTGCCGCTAATTAAGGGTTTTAGGTTGTTTATTTTTTTCCAAAGTGCCTCCTGGATCCGAATAATTATAAGCGGTTTTCTTTCTCGTCCGTGAATATGACAGTTTCCTACGATGTTTTGTCACGCGGTAACTACCGCTTACCTCGCTTTTGCGTTTCTCATTACCAGGTTTAGATTCCTGGTAACTGTCTCCAGCAAAGGCAAAACAAATGAATATACATAAAAGCGTCAATATAACTATTCGCAACATGTTCATGAGTTGTAAGAAAGTTGCTATTTGGAAATAAACAGAAACCTGTGGACATTGATAAGTTTGGGGGCATTTTGACTTGCGTTTGTGTTAAATCATGTCTTGTTTCGTAACGGTCACCTAAGTTACGAACCAATGTCTTCCTGATTATCACGTAAAATTAACACTTCAGAGAAAAATCAAAATTAAATATTCTGAAAATTAATTAATTTCACACTTTCAAAAAGATCAGTAAAGTCAATAAAGCTCTTGTTATGTAGAGGGTGCCCGGCTTTGTACTCCTCAGCTTCTAGGCGTTAAAATAATAGAGTCTTTTCTGCGTAACGTCCTGCCTGTCTTAAATTCTTCAGCGACGAAACATTCTTGAAAGAAAATTGAAGCAATTGAGGTAAGGTAAGCGGTAGTTATCGCGTGACAAAACATCGTAGGAAACCGTCACATTCACGGACGAAAAAGGAAACCGCCTATAATTATTCGGATCCGGGATTTTAGCATGAGGTAAAAGTCCTCTTTTGCCTACCGACTTCGTTTTTACACTTGAATGATTTTTTTTTTCATTTAGTTTTTATTCATAGATTTATTTGAGAAGTAAAATTTAGCTTTTAATCTGTCGTTTTGTAATAACAATAAAATCGACACGATGATCCGCCAACTCTTGAGTCCAAGTCATTCCTATTTTTCTTTCGGAATCATTTGCGGTCGACTTTGGGGATCACTTGCGGTCGAGGATCATTTGCGGTCCATTTTGGGGATCATTTGCGGTCTCGGGATCAGTTGCGGTTGGCGATCATTTGCGGTACTGTACATTGCCCGTCACTAAGGTTTTCAAAACACTGAATAGTTTTAACCTAATCCCCAAACATCTATATTCCTTGTCTACCGTTAGGAGCAAATCTGAACATAAGGCAAATTCAGATCGGAGACGGAATGTCGGTCATTTAGTGATCTGAAAACTGCTTTAATGACTGTTGGTCATTAGACACTTGGTTTAAATTACGCCTATAAATTCCAATGTTCGAAAATGAAGGTACCAAGCTTTGATCTGATTCCAACGACTCTAAACGTTAACAGTCGCAACTTATCAAAACATGCAAGAATTAAGCATATGTCATAACAATAACATACCATCACATTCGCCTCGAATGATTGGAGCTGCAGTGCGGAGTAATACAAGAATTGTAATGACCAAAAGCAAGTCGATCATGTTTCTTGCTGTAGCGTTACTTGTTAAACGTTTTAGAAAAGCTTTGTGATCTGATGTCTCCATTGGGACAAGTGTTATTACGATTTGAAATTTTTTCGTCTACTCTGAACAGCTAAATTTCGATTTGATTCACTTCTGTAGCGCGTACACATATGCTTTCTAGGAAAGGGGGTCAGTGGACCGTGTTTTTCCGGGAATTATGCTGTCTGAGGATATGATTAATTGCGGTTTCTGTGGAATATTTACATGACGTAAGATACATACCTTAAGTTATTAGCAAATTCGTCTCCAGGGCCTTGTCCTTTCTGGGAATAAGGCGAAGAAAGATCATGGTCATCAAGATATATTCGACAACTTTTTATGGTTCTCTGGATATGAAGTTTTGCAACCATTTTGAGAAAAACTGCTGTTCAAAGTGTTCAAAAAATTCATTAGTCAAAGCGGAAGAAGGATGCGGAGGAAGAAGCGGATGAAAACAAGGATTGAAAGTGGATAGAAGAAACTGAAGAGAAGAATAAGAGGGAGGAGAAGGGAGAAAGGGATTTGTCATCTTTCCTGTGATCGATGTTGATCTTAAATATCAGATCGTGTCAATGGAACGTCTTTTTCTCACTTGGTGTCTTAAGACTGATCATAAACCTTTCTTCTGAAAGCGTATTTTGACTACTTTATGGCGGTCACGAGATTCGCTGCTTCGAACCAGTAGAGCCGATCGAGTTCTCATATTGCAGTGCTCAGGCCTGAAGATTTGGTTACCTTGTTTTTTCGTACTCCGTGAAAGCAAAGTTAAGAGCCATTATCTGAGACAATCGAGAATCGCACGACACTCGTCAAAAAATCGAATTTTTTTTTATTTTGCCAAAACATCCCTTTTAGTGACCTTATTTAAGGAAAAATAGTTTTGGGTTCAAACGATTCATTTTAAAGGAGAAATTAGGAAAAGTTTGAAAAATCGATTTTATGCTCGTTTTTCGCACAAAACACGGCAGGATGCAATGGCAACTTCGAGAGAAGGGTGAACGCGTAAGAAACATTCCCTGACATTGAAACTTCACCGAATTATTATTTTGTTCTTACTCTTGAAAATCCTAAAAGAAAATTTGATAAACAATGCTTTACATTTTTATAATCGACAAGTGTAAAGAGGTCATATTTGTGACGTTAGACGTGCTAGAAAATGAAGGCCAACTTTGACTATTAAAAAAGGCCTCTGGTATATGCCGCTTGATCATAAAATCAATATAAAATGGAACCTTACTAACTTACTGGAAAGTTTTAGCTCTGGAAATCAAATATCATCCTGACACCAAAGCAAGCGGTGAGAGCAATTGAATTGGGAAATTTATGCAAATTAGACGGCTTGCGGACGGTTGTCAAACTAAAAAGAAAGGTTTTACATGAAAGGATTACTCACCATTGCTTGTAACACGTTTTTACGGCAAGGAAAGTTATTTCCAACTTCTTTTGCGTCGTTTTGAGTCACAAAATAAATAATTTTTAGCCAAAAGACAAACGTACGTTTGCTCAGCAACTGCGTCCGAATCCGGCCGTGAATCGAAAGTCCCAACACGTCGAAGCAAGAGTTACAAGAGTTTTTACTTCAGTCAGGAGGCAAAAGGAATAAAAATTCATCGCAAACTAATGACTTCGATTTTGAAAACTTTTCATCACTTCAATCGTTCGTCGGCTGATAACAACATCGCACAAGATCGTATGATCTTTGGCGTGTGACCGGAAATTGGTCACACGCTTTAGTCACGTCAGCATGCTGTCACGAAATTTTCGTAGCTGTTGTCAGCAATTTAATACAGTTTTCACATTTTTTGACAAGAACCCCCCTCATCGCAGTAGAAACAGCCATGCATATTTTTTTTCTTTTATTTACCTACTAGGCTTTGAAACAGCTTTTTTTGCCTTCGAAGTACTAAACAGGAGGGGTACCTCGGATTCCAAGTGTCGTGAGTGACCCGTGGAAGCGAAAATCAAGACCAAAAAAGAACGAATATTTTGAATACTTAAGTAAAGCCACAGCTAAAAAAAAAATTTGTTCAAAATATTTTCAAAACAAGAAAAAAACATACTTCGATCATCCCCGTGACTTGGAATCTGGCCAGGGTACCCTCTCCCCCTCCCTTCCTCCCCTATGCCGGGTCAAAATACTAAGTTCCCCCGGCCCAATGTCCCATAGTCAAGGGAGTATACTGTCTTGCTGTAGTAAAGAACTTGCAGAATAATACTAATTCTCCGTGGCCAACGAATTCAACGCTATAGTTTACTTTGATTTTCGCTATTTGCTCACGATCAGGAGCCTATAACCGCAACCGCGACCAAATTATGAAACCTGTTATTACCAGAAAAAAAAAAAAAACACAAAGAAACAGTCAGTCAGATGGACAGTACATAATAAAAAAGACCTCGATTAAGATTAAAAAAAATCAAGACATGACACTGTCGGATACGAAAACCCAGAAACCATTTTGTGGAAAAAAGGTTCGTATACAGCTATCAGCTGCTTTTGTCCACAACTCGCCGGTAGAGGTGCGCGGAAACTAGTGATTGTGAAATGGCTTCAAACTATGATCCTATACTGTTGGAATATTACTTATCACAGAAAGCTACATCTGATTTCTTCTAGCAGACACAATCCTCTTGGTTCGTGTGGACAAAGTAGCTCATCCCGGCTATTTGCACCATGCTACCATAGTCTCCCTAGATTCCCAAGCCTCGCACGCAGACTTTCCTGTCCCACGAACGTTGGGTAGGATTATAGGACGAACCAAAAGAAAGTGAAGGCTATAGGCTCTCGCGATGATGCAAGGAAGGTCGAGTATTATATTCCCCTATCCAGGTCGCCCAGGGTAAGTCTTCGGAGGAGAGCGGTGTATGACATTTGCAGACTGCAGACTGCAGACTGCAGACTGCAGACCGCAGACCGCAGACTGCAGACCGCAGACCGCAGACCGCAGACTGCAGACTGCAGACTGCAGATCACAGATTGCAGACTGTAAATTAAATGACACCAAAAATGTTCCTAATAAAGCTAGGTGACGTCATCAAAAATATAACCTCGTGTGAAAGTGAGAAAGTAGCCTGGTCGATATTTTTGCGCAAAGTTACAATGGACTCTTTCCCAAGATGCTGTTGGCTATTCTTCTTCGACCCTTTCTCAACTCACGCGGCATATCACTAGTTGCGTTGATTCTTTATTCTTCTTTGATTATTGTGAATTGATAATGAGAAGTAGCAATGCCCACTAATGCCTGTCTAAATAGTAGTCTTCGTGCTCACTACAGTTACGTCGACAAAAACAACTAGGATAGATCAAGGACTTTTAACACCTTTTAAATGACGTATTTCATCTTAGCAGTATTCAGGGATATGCTAAATAATCTAAAATGAACAGATCCTACCTGGACTCGACGAATTACAAGAACTGCATTTTGAATTTCTAAATAGGAAAATAACTGCTCATACTCAAGTTCAAGTACACAGGTGAGGACCCCGTAGAATAAGGATTCCGGCGCTGTTTCTCAGACAGACTTATATAACCGTAGTTTAATTTCGTCTGTGGTGTAGGCTAAATTGCTAGACGGTTGCTATGGAATCATGAGCAAGTTTGTGACATCGGCAGACATTATTCTGCTTTAATTCAAAACGAAAAGAACAGCCAACAGCTCCTTTGGGAATGACATCTGTGTAATTTACGTAAAAAATATAAACTTTGCTTCTAGGCTTTACTTCTCGGAACAAGGTAATGTTGATGATGACGCCACCTTTATTACAATATTTTTGGTTTCATTAACAGTCTTGCTGCCTCATGCAGTGTGCGGTCTGCAGTCTGCAGTCTGCGGTCTGCGGTCTGCAGTCTGTGGTCTGCAGTCTGCAGTCTGCGGTCTGCAGTCTGCAGTCTGCAGTCTGCAAATGTCATACAGCGGGAGGCGAGTGACTTAGGGGCTGTATGTTCGAAAAGTTGACTAACGCCCCCGGAACTAACGCTTTCCCCTGGATAAATCTATATCCAATAAGTAACGCAATTGCTTCATCTTATTCGCTTGATAGTGATTTCCTGTTGTTCAACGTTTGAACAACAGGGCCCTAAGTGTTGTGTTTCGCCTTGCACTAAAAACCCATAAACCTTATAAATTTCACTATGGGACTTCAGCACCTCCCTTGAATGATCCATTTCGCTAAACAGGACCTCAAAACAACGATTCTGTGCATCCTAAGGGAGTGTATACTATACGTTCCTGGCTCTCGTCACTCACAGTGAGGTGATGGTGGCTCATACTCTAATAGACCTAACACAGTCGAACCTCCATGTGCGACCGCCAATCCAAAAGACCAAATTTTCCCATTCAAAGCCTTATATTTGGATTAACCTCCAGTAAACGACCTTCTGTAAGTGACTGCGACCACTTTTTGGGCGTCACGGTTAATTGTTTTCCATAAGCGACCAGTTGACGCATTCTCTGCTCTCTATTTTTGCTGTGTGCACTATGTTCCTTGGAAAATATGAAGACCTTTAGTGACATCGTGGAACTACACATATCCTTACTTAGTAGATGTAGCCAACAAAGTGAAGATTCTGTTGTGATTCTAGACTATTCTATATCTCACTCACCTGAATCCCTCTTTAAATTGAGCATGATTTAAAAGCTGTATTTTTCAAAAGAGGTAAAAGATAATATTTTGCCAGGAATTTGTTACACCGCCATTTAATAGAATGTGCCCGGACCTCTTCTCGGAATAGACCCCATGTGGTCAGATTCTTCTAAACGGCCACCTCCCGTTAGAGACCATTAAGTCTTTGCATTTTTGGTGGTCGCTTACTGGAGGTACGACTGTATTACTTTGACCTATCAGAGGCTTACCGATAATAAAGGGGATCTGGAAGGGGGCATGGATGCGACAATCACATGCCAGGTCGCTTACTTAAAATAGTGGCCATCTAACTGACAATCAAAGTTTGTGCTTATTATTGGGGTTATCTGGTGTTTACTCACCTCCCAAGCTACCCTGGGTGAGCCAACTTTTCCTCCATTTCCTTACAAAACTTGGTAAAC